CAAATATTGTTTACTTTGCGGAATGAAAGTGGAAGAATCCAACACACATTCCCATTCAAAAGTTTCTAGACACACATAGGATTGCATCATTTTTGTTCATGTTTGAAAATGGTCATCAGATATACAACAATGTAATAATTTATTGTTTTGAAAGTTATACCGTGTAAGAGTTTTTTTGACAAAAATGCGATAGAATTTTATTAAATAATAATAAAGAGTACAAAAGACACAGACTGTAAAGAAAGCCATCATAATAACAATATGATAATTTGTCAATTTCAAATAGGCATTTTCTAAAATTTTGCTCCCTCGAGACAATTTAACCTATAAGAAATGTTATAGAGTATCAAAATTTCAAGGAACGAACATTCTTTCCCACAAGAGTTCGATATTTATTTATTAATTTACCACTTAGTACACCCCCATATGAACAACCCCTTTTAGTTTTCTCGTCTTAGAAGTCCAATAAATGGGGCTGTTTGATTGACTTATATTCATGTTCCTGTCAACTCACAAACACAGGTGACAGGAGGACAGTTGAAATCGCTTGAGATTTAGAAGTTGAAAAGAAGGATCACCATTTTGTGGTTAGAATTGGTTCACATGATGTCACGGTTTGGGATAACATTCTAGAAGTTACCCATTTTGAAACAAGAAGAAGGTTTTACATTTAATTTGCACGCAAGTGTATACGTGCGTTGTGAACTAGTCTGTGGAGGAACTTTCATAAGAAAAATTCTTCTCGTAAATATTGTTTACTTTGCGAAATGAAAGTGGAAGAATCCAACACACATTCCCATTCAAAAGTTTCTAGACACATAAAGGATTGCATCATTTTTATTCATGTTTGAAAATGGTCATCAGATATACAACAATGTAATAATTTATTGTTTTGAAAGTTATATCATGTAATAGTTTTTATTTATTTATAAAAAGGCGACAGAATTTTATTAAATAAGAATAAAGAGTACAAAGGACACGGGCTATAAAAGGAGTCATCTTAATAACAATATGATAATTTGTCAATTTCAGATAGGCACTTTCTAAAATTTGTCTTATTGTAGCCATGCTAAGTTTGCTCTAGGTAATGTGTCTTTAAATGCTTGGCTTGAAGAGGGTCCTCCAAGGCCGTTGACATTGTTATTTTGGTTTTATTTTGAGTTTTTTGTTTGTAGCCTTTATGGGGCGTGTGACACTCTTTTTCCTTCGTCTTAGGTTTTTCCTATTGGGGTTTCTTAGGCAAGGGTTTGATGAGGCCATGTTTATTCGCTCAAGTCTGTAACCTTTGACAATTAAATGAAACCTTACTATTTCCCAAAAAAAAAAAGTCAACTTTACATCACTCATTTATTTCCCTCGAGATCTCTACATGGCAACGGTCACCACCCCACAAGCAAAAGATCCCAAGCAAACCCACCCCTAAATTTTCAGTATCAATAGTATGAAAGGACCTTTAACTCAAATTTGAATCAGCTTAGCAATTCTTGGCTCTCAAATGTCTGCACCTCTCAACTGAGAGAGAGAGAGAGAGAGAGAATGAAGCACAACATCTAGGTTGGGTTTTGTGGCTAGGGTGAAAGAGAGGTAAAGGGTGTGGGGAGGGGATCGAGTAAAAGAGACACAAAGAGTCTTTTTTTT